TATTTTCTTTTCTTTTTGATTGTTTTAATGTCTGTTTGAAATAAATAAATTAAAAAAAATAAAGAAACAAATGCCAAGCACCCTTTTTTAAAATCTTTTCATCTGGGAGACTTTTAGAATAAAAACATCATTAGGGAGTGTCAAATGTATCAGATTATGTACAGCAATGGGGAATTTGTTAATTTTAAAATGATTTTATAAAGTCAATCATAGTTACTGACATTTACTGTGACAATAAAAACAAAAACTGAAGCATATATATATATATATATATATATATATATTGGTTATCACCATCCTTTTTTTATTTTAAACCTTGAAATTAAAGATTTTGATGTTGACTGTAGTCATTTACTTACATTTATTTGCACACAGTCACCTGTATTGTTGATGTTAAAAATCAGATTTCTGTTGAGTCTTTAAGTGTGCGAGGTCCGGTGGATGATGGACAGACCTGACCACATTTCTTTGTGGGACAAAGTGTTTAGGGATTTCCACTGTTTCAAACAAGACTGTAATAGAACATTCAAACATCTGGATAYAAATATAAAAAATAATAAGTTAAATAATAGTTAAGTTGATGTCAGTTTTTTACTCTTTTCACAGAACGCCCATCCTAYGCTCCTCCTCCTCCCCCTGCCCCAACAGCAGTAAGTGTCCAGCTCTCAGCTTCCTGCTAACCTACATGCTTAATGCTTCCACCACATCCTTATTTTCTTTGCTTTCTTCAGTATTTCTCTCTGTCTGAACCCACTAAGGTTGTCACAAATCTTGTTCAGCTCTTCATCCCCACTGTCACTCCTGAGTTTTCCTGTCATGTCATCATTTGGGTGCTTTAATAAAAAATACGGTTCTTTGCCTCAAGTGCTTTTCTTGTGCTCAAGTGAAACACTTTGGGAATCCACATTGAGGAACCTACACTTTTGACATGAAATATCAGTTTTATTACTTCTTCTGCAGGTCGTGTTCATTATATGTGCTTATTTTGATGCTTCTTTCAAAACATTGAGCGTGCAACATTGTGAACTGTGGAATTGCAAACACAAGATTCAATAAAAGCAGCTTGTGCTTAACAAAACTGAATTTCTGTAGGTGCAGCATTCACATGTTGTGTGTTCTGAACCCCAGCCTGCTGCTTAGTTTTTTTGCTTTGCATTTTCAGGTCATCAAAAAAAGGTTATTTTTATGTTTTCTCCTCCCTTTCACTTATTTGTGTTTTATCCCTCTTCCTCTTGTTTGTGAGTCATTTCTCATTCGTGTTTTGTCTCATTTGTCTTCCATCAGCAAATGCCTTCCACCCCAGGGTTTGTGGGCTACAACCCTTACAGCCATCTGGCCTACAACAACCTCCGACTGGGAGGGAGCTCCGGAGGCTCCAGCAGGGTAATGAATGTTATGAAAGGATAAAAAAAAGTTTCGGGAGCGAAGGAAGAATAGAATAAGATCCTAAAGACACAGATTAAAAACTGAAAAAGATTATTATAAGAAGGTGGCATTAGGAATAATGTGAATATTCCTTTTCAGGTGAAAGATGAGGCAGCTGCACTTTAGACAGATATTTTTTGCTGTTATTTTAAGGTCTGAATGGATTTAGCAGAAATCAGACAGGAGCGAGGCCAGGTTGAGTTCATGACGAAACTTTCATTCTCAAAATTATTAAAGTCTCGTCGTGTGGGATGAGCATCTCATTACGCATCTAATGAATATTGAAGCCAAAAATGTTAAAATTCTGATTTATGTATTTATTTATATATATTTTATTCATTTTTATATACATATGCAGTATATTTTTTTTACATCTGTATTTTTTCTCTTCTCCAAAGCTTTAATTCCAAAGCTTGAATTGTTGTACCGCTCATTGTTCAGTGTGTCCCCTAG